TAAACCAAATTAAAGGTACTTTAGAGGAAGATATGATAATGTTGCACTAGCGGATCCAGGATTTATTTTGGGGGGAGGGGCTTCAGCCCGAAAGTTGTTTTTTTCATAAAAATAACGATAATTATTTTGGAAAAAAAGAAAGAAACTAACTACCTGTATAAAATGGTGTTTAAGTGATTCCTAAAGACCTTCTAAATGTAATTGCACGAACAATAATACTGTAAGAGATACTTTTTTAATATTTTTTTTCGATAAAACATGGTTATATTTCATCATTTTGGGGGGGGGGGGAGCTTCAGCCCGAAAGCCCCCCGTAGATCCGCCCGTGTAATGTTGGGATTTCACAAAGGGAAAATTCATCAAATTATTCACTAATCTAATTTTATAAAATGGAACATGACAATTTTTCGGAATAAACGGCCGATAGATACCTAATTATTTAAATATAATATATTATCTATAGTTAATACTGTATAGTAAATATATTTGAGGTTATAAACATATCCATGAAATACTTTTATACTTCACTTCTTCTTTTACACAAGTACACTGAAATAGTTTTTTAAACAATTTCATTGGCTTGATTTGGTGGATTTAAATTACTTTTTTTCATACATAGAAAAATATTTAAAAGTTTACATATGGTAAGAAAATTCCCTTTAATTTAATTCCATTGAAAACATTTGATTTACGATAAATAATATTAGTTTTCTGAAATTATTATTTATAATGTTTCACAATTCGCCGTTACCTTCTACAAATTTCTATATTAGATACTGTTTTTTCTAAAATTCTCAGCTTTCCAACGATATATTAAACGTATATCCCCTTACTAGTATTTCCGGAGATTCATTTTCGACATGGATAAGCATGTTTATTTTTTTCTCCTTTATTCGATTATCAAATTATTTCAAAAGCTGTATTTAGCATTTTTTCGTAACTTTTAATAATGTGGAATGATTAATTATTTAAAATAAATCATATTAAAGGTACTTTAGAGGAAGACGTATATGAACACTGGGCATTTAAACCCTGTAAAGTGACATCAATGGAGATAAAACCTAATTGATATTAAAGACCACTTCATTATACAATGATGCACAGAGTTTCATTAAAATCATTAGAGCCATTTTTGAGAAAATTGTAAAAATGGGTTTCAGCATTGATATAAAGTGGCACTTCTGGTAAGCCAATTTTAAGGAAAAAGTTGCTGTCACATCTAAGGCATATACCTGTTTGAAATACATAATATCAGTTTCTTACGACTTTTCGTTTTTGAGCTAGACTGCTAACATAAACACACACACAGACCATTTTTCAGGACTTGGTTGTTTGAACTCAGGGGACATGTATTTCCGTTGAAAACTCAGATTCAAAAATTTTCATGATCGCAATTCTTACACTTACTATATATTACATATATAGGTAAGTGAAAGTAAAAAAAAACAAAATAAATATAACGATGTGCATCGGTACATAGCTTCTTGTACGTCCAATGCAAGGGAGAATAGAAAAGTAAAGAGTTATATTTATTACCTTAATCATTCTGAACATTTATGCACATCCTTGGAGTTATATTAGTACCTTGGAGATATTAAGAACTGGTTAATCCAACCGATAGTATTATTTATTTAAAAATTTACGTACCCCATTGCTAAAAAACCGGGGCGAAGCTTCCTTGTTTTTGCTCAGATAGTTTAAATATCTGTATAATTTATATAAAATATAATATAATATAATATAATTTCTTTCATAAAGAATAACTATTTAATTATTCAGAACTACAGTCTAAAAACCCTACAATATTGCGACTTACCAGCAGTCAAAGGAACTAGCTGAAACAACAGTGATCTAAATGAAGAAAAATGAAATTGCAGACTTAATTGACTGCGGCAAATAATATATTTTGTTCTTTATTTATTATTATGTAAGGAATGTATGTTATTGTATAAAGATAGACATCTTTATTGATATGTAGAAAGATAAACATTAATCAAGTGTAAATATCCTCTACAAACAAGTAAAAAGAATAGAACAGAATGGTATATTTTAATTTCTTAAAATAAATACTGAAATATATATAATTTTTTAACTCAGGCATAAATCCCCCACATTCGCCCTCCCTTGTCCAAGAAAACTCCCATATAGCCTTAAAGGCGAGGAAGGGGAGAACCAAACAAAAAAAAGTTATCATGTCGCATTCCATACATGAGATTCAATCTTTTGAAATTATTATTAGAATAATAGTAACAAAATCTGCCACAATCAAGAGTGTTTGGTATTATGGCTCTATGTGTACATTTATACCATTTAGAAACTAAACTACAAAATGAGAAAAAAATAAAATAAGAATAAAGCATGTAAGTAAAATATATATATTAAAAGAATTACAAAAATAAAAAATACATTAAAAGAATGCGTGAGATTCAAGAGGCACTTTCACATAATGAGAATTATGATCATGTCTTTATGAGGTTTTCTATTAATTTTTAGTAGGATCCTTAGCTTATAATATTCAGTGGTGGATTTACAAACTAGGTCAGGACCAAGGGTAGATGATTCCAGGGGATAATTTAAAAAATTAGATTTACTTTGTTGAAGAGAAGTTGGTGTCATTGGAAGTACGAAAAAATAAATAATATCGGTATTTTTTTCTCTTTTTGCCTAGCCCTGATGATGGCCTGGAACTCAGGCCGAAATGGCATAAAGAAAAAAAAAAACAATATAATTTATTTTTATTTTATTTTGACCAGTCTATTAACTGCTTCCTGCAGTACCACATGCCACACCTTGATGAAGTAAGGTGGGTCGAAACGTCAGTGTAACTATTAAAAGTACTATTTTTTAAAAATTTAGTATTTATTTAAACGCACCACCCCGACCAATTCCTTCTCATAATTTATTTTTGTTTACATATATATATATATTGCCTAATATTGAGGCATTCATTGTTGTTTCGAGGATTCCTGATGCTTGTAAATAATTTATTCATATATCTGTAATGCTAACACTCTGTCAGGAAATAACATAATCACATGGTAAATATGATGGTTTTATTTATATATATCTATGTTCTGCAATATTAATCAAATAGTAGGTAGAATCATAACATCAATACACACCCACTAATATACCTTGACCAGTTACTGATGGCAGAGCTAAACGAAGAGTAGGAGGAGGACAAGAAAAGAGGAATGAGGAAGGCCTTTATTAATTTGTGGCCATTAATATACATCTCAAAAGCCAACTCTCTCACACAGAAAAAAAATTGTGAATATACCACAGAGTTATATTTATTAATCAGATAAAATAATATCTTCATAAATGTTTTAGCTAATAAATTTTCTTTATTTTGTAATGAAGGTATATAAATTAATCATGTCATCACTGTACTTTTTACAGCTGTATTATTTTATAATAAACATAAGTTATATTGGAATTACAATAATGAGATTCAGTAGGTTTCTCCACTTTATACATAGCTTCTTTTCCTAAAGTTAATTTAAACAAGTAGTTTATAATTTATATGGTAACAATTATTTTAATTTTTAGAAATATATAGTTCTTATTTTCTTAGCATAAATAGTATTTCCCTATGTTTCTGAGGTTAAATGAAACATAAATAAAATTTCAGGTTGCTTAAATCGTGCAACACGTTCCACTCGACTTGCTGCGTCGGTAGTCATAATCCCTAACACTATTCCTGATGAAGGTTATGAAGAAATAAAAATGGAGAAACCAAAGATAATCTGTAGGAAAGATAAATTTGACCCAAGATATCTTACAACATCACAGACAGGAAATGTTAAACTTAAAACTCCCCCGCCTGATGATATTATTACAAAAAATGGAGAATTTATGAGAAATGGGAAAAGGTATAAATCTTTTTACTGTTTATATTTTGAATAAACTGCTTTTATGGTCAGAATAAAACATAATAAAATGATTATCAATTTAATATGATGTGTAAGAAATTTGTGCAACTATGAAATTCTTTATTTAGTTCAATTAAATTCTGTCACGATTAAGAAAATTAGTTAAAATGATAAAAAAGTTCATTCATATCATATTTACAACAAAAATTAAATGGAATAATAGCAAAATAATAATATTAAAAAATATATATATATATTTATATAAAAAAGAGAATGGATACTTAAGAGTTAAATAATATAACATAGGCCTTTTTTTGTACCTATGTATCTAGGAGACCCCAGTGATTTTCTCTTAACCATATCAATGGTATTTATAGCCAGTAGAGGCGGAGCTAGGAGGCTTGAGTGGAGAATTTGTCAATCACCAGAATTCTAATACCTAGTTCTACCATAAATACTGTTACAAAAGTTGAACTGTGTTTACATCCATGAGTATTATTTAGTTAATCCTTACCCATATCAGGTTATTTTCTTTACATGTCAGGATAATAATCCCAATTAGTTTCTATTTTTCTTTCGCACAGTTAACATGGAGTGGGGTGATAAAGAAAACCGAATAGCTATTCACCTTACATAAAGTTGGAGAATGAAGGTCAGAGATTTTCAACACTTTGAAACCTTTGGGTATCAGCTGTATGTTCATGTAACGCACTATAAATAGATATAATGAGACCATATCTGTATATGACAGACCTCGACCACACTGTGAGAACAGCAAATGCAGTGAGATCAGTAGCTGCTGGAATCAGAAGAAATCTCATTCGAAAACAACAGATCATGTCTCGGGAAATGGGAATCTCTGTCAAATCAATGTCTCGCACAATAAAAAGTGACCTTAGGATGGGTGCATTTCGAAGGATGACAAGAAAAAGGCTAACCACTTACCTAAAAAAAAATTAGAGTGGATAGATGCAAAGTGCTCCTTGACTGTTACATCCATGATCTTCATCGAAAGATTTTGTTTAGCGATGAGAAAATTTTTACAATTAAAGAAAAATTTAATTGCCAATAAATGATCGTGTGTAGGCACACAGCTCTGAAAATGCCTAGGAAGTTATCGGATGAATGGAAAGAGGTCATCACCCTTCCTCAGTGATGGTTTGGTAGGGAGTTTGCATTGATGGCACCAACAAGCTCCATTTTTGTGAAAAAGGAGTTAAACAGCTGCTAAAAACTATCAGGACAATATTTTAGAACCTGTTGTTAAGCCGCTAAATGATACTCTGTTTGCTGGAAGTCATTGAGTTTTCCAGCAGGATTCTGCTCCAGCTCACATGGCCAGGTCAACTCAGCAGAGGCTGCAAAAGAACATTTCAGAGTTCATCTCTGCCTCGGATTGGCCCTCAGGAAGCCCTGATCTCAACCCACTAGATTATCGGCTTTGGTCCGAACTGGAGAGGATGGCATGCCACAGAGCAAACCCTAACTTGGAAAGCCTCAAACAATCTCTGGTCCGAGCAGTTGAGCGCTTTCCTCAAGAAGTGCTGCTATTGATGACTGGCCATGGAGATTAAATGCCTATGTCAAGGCAAAAGGGAGACATTTTAAGTAATTTATTTTTTGTTTTATTCTCAATAGATATAAATTTGATTTTCTAATAAAGTTTTTGAAAAAAAAAATTTTCTTTTGAAAGTATATATTTCCTTGTAACAATATTTATGGCAGGACTATGTATATACACATTTACAAAAGGTTTTGAAACCACTATCATTACAATCCTCCTCGGTATATTTATGCTTGTATATTTATACTTTTCACAAGATTGATAAAAATAGGTTTTCTCCTTCTTAAAAAAAAAGTTGTGCCTCTCTTTGGCCTATCAAAGAGATCCAACTTGTGATTGGAAATTGATTCATTGAATTTATCAATCTTTGTTATTGTGTGAAAAGTCAAATTTACATATACTATCCAATTTTTTACTTAAAAGACTTGCTTGATTTTTTAAAATAACAGATTAGTGTTATTTTTGTTATGTAAAATGTCACTACTCCATAACATGTCACTGATTGATTTTCACTTTTTTGTGTACTGTTGCCTTTAAAACAGCATTAATTACAATGAAATTATGTTTGTTATCTTTATCTATATTTTCTAAGAAGAAGAAATTTAAAAGCTTCCATGCTTTATTTAAAATTTTGATTGCCGTTGAAATGAAAAAAAAGATAGCCACATTGCAAAAGCCTGTGATAAAAATAAAATATTCAGAAGATTAAAAAAATAATAATAATAAAAAAAACACTTATTTTCAATTTTATGATGAAAATATTCTCTTCATTTCTTTATTTTTTTAAATGCTCGAGATAGAGATGTAATGTTTTAAATGAATTTGTTATTTTATTTGTATTTGTATTTCTGAATATGCGTGAGGTCAATATTGATCAGAAAACTGCACTTTCTAAAAAAATTGTTCTTATAGGCTTCTGCGGCTTTTATATCGATACATTTATGTCATTATTGCTGTTAAACACTGACTAGTCTTTGATGCAATCAGATAATGATGAAATTATAAAATTTTATAATAATAAGGAAAATAAATCAATAATAAAATGACACAAACTAAAGATTAATCTTTAATATACATAATTTTTTGTCAAGATATATAAGAATAGTGACACGTGATCATGTGAGAGACGTCATTATACCGGAAAAAGAGAATACTGCCCGCAATTTGATTTTGTGCAAATCAGAACTAGATAAACTAGAGGCTATTCAGGTATTTTAGTATTATAATTTTTATTGTCATTATTGCATAATTTGTGATTAGAAAGTATGAATTAGGTTAGGAAGAGAGAGAGAAAAATATAAGAGAAATGTACGAGGGAGAAAAAGAAAGGGAAATTGAATGTTAAGAAAAAAAGAAAATATATATATATATATATATATATATATATATATGTATAATTGATAAATGGTTGACTGTCATGGATAATGAAGAGAAGAATAGTTAGGGTGGTCAGTCAAAAAAGAAGGCAAAAATAAATGATATTTATTTTTACATATGCCGACGTTTTGACCTGAAGTTCAGGCCTTCATCAGGGCTAAGAAAATAACCAGATAACAAGGTATGAGAAACATAAGTAGTGATGGTAAAAGAAAAAAGAAAAAAAAGAAAAATAAATAAATAAATATAAAGTGAAATGAAATTGTTAGAATAATGACTAAGAACTAAGAGATAAATAATAATAACCGTTACAAAGTGTGGAATGATGAAGTAGGCATAATCAAAAAGGGTGACATAAGTGTTACAATGGGAATCTTAGAATAAAATGTAAAACATAAAAAAGAAATATGAAGTTATATACGAAATGAAAATAAATAGTAAAATTAAGACATTGAGAATGGAGTAATTAGACAGAAAATTGAGATATTGTAAAGTCTATAAATATGTACAGACAATGTATAATATAATAACGAGTTAAAAACAGAGAAAAGGAATGAAAGGAAGGAGAGAAGAAATTGAGAAAGCTGAAATAAGAAAGAAATAAAAGAAGTACTACCTGTCTCCTTAAGTGTTGCAGGGAGGATAAAAGTCGTTGCAAGGAAGAGAGAAGAGATGTGTAGGTGGCGTCATCTGAACTGCAGGTCGAAACGTCGGCATATGTAAAAATAAATATTATCATTTATTTTTGTCTTCTTTTTTGACTGACCACCCCAACTATTCTTCTCTTCATATATATATATATATATATATATATATATATGTGTGTGTGTTTGTGTGTAATGAAAAAAGAAGAAAAAAAATGTTTACTATACTCCTATATATTGATGATACTGTATATTTTTATATTAGTTTTAAAGATTGTCCATTGTATTGATTGATAATTATATTTTGTTTATAGCAACCCGATATAATTGAGCCGTACCCTTTTATGAAAAAAAAGTGTTTCTCTCTCATCTATAGAATTTTATGATGTAGAGATGGTTGACCGTTGATATAATATGAGAAGGAGTTAGTCGAGGGTGCGGTCAAATAAATAAAAAATTAAAATAATTAATATATTTTAATTTTTTATTTATTTGACCGCACCCTCGACTAACTCCTTCTCATATAGAATTTTATTTTTTTTAAATTATATTATTTTCTGAAAATTTTTATAATTTTGTAAATTTACAAAATATCTACTTAATATTTTGAAGGACTATTTTAAACACTTTTATGAAAGTTGATTTATTACATTAATTAGTTTATTATTATTATTATTATTATGGAAACAAAATAGTTTTTAAAGTACAGTAATACAATAAATCCCTTCAGAAATAATAATAGGATTTTAGCTCACAGGTTAACATTGGTTTGTTATAGTTCGATGAAGGAGGATTGTACAAGGTAATTTTTTTGGCTATTTCTTATTTTTTTCAGCTTAAAAAATTAATTATTTTTTATTATGATAGTTACACAATTGTATGACAAATGATGAGTTTTATATTTTGTTTATAATGATTGTTGAAAACATTTTCTTTTATTATTGGTATTTTATATGTTAATAGTATTTCTTATATAATATTTTCAGAGATATATTTTTGGACTTGAAAAGGGTTTTTAATAAAATTTTAATAAGAGGGTTTAAAATAGTCCTCATAGAAGTAAATAAGGTTTGAAATAAATATACCCTTTTGAAATATAATATTAGGATATTTATTAAAAACTAATAAATATATTTTTTATTTTATTTTTTTATGAGCATTACTGTTAATGCTAAAAATATTCTAATAGGAGACTGAAGGTCAAGATAAGTCTGAAGAATTAAGGAAACAAAGAGAACAATATGAATTGGATGCGGCTGAAAGCGATAACAGAAAGAGGGAGCTTCAAAAACACTATGTCAGCTACAGGGAAATGGATCCTGTCCTCAGTAAGGTAACATAACCTTTATAATAATTTTCAAGAGAGCATATTAATTATGTAATATATTATTTAAGAAGAAGAATTTTATTATGGGACGTTTATTTCCCTAAGAATATCAAACATGAACAATGACAATTACATTATAACATAGATTTGTCTGGTACATGAAGGCTGAAAAATGGGTTACAAAGTTGTGTAACATTAAAATTAAAATAAAACGCTACTCTAAATATATTGGGTTGTCAAATATGTCCTTTCGGTCCTATCTGATGAATTAATCCCTAAGGTGGATTGTTTATCCTGTGTGTAATATATTAAAAAATAAATCTATTAACTCTTGTTGAAACTAGCTTAGTATTGTGTTTGCTATTGCACTGTGAATATAGAAGAAAACATCATTCATTATCGCCATATTTTTTTGTATAATCTAAAAAAAAGTTAAGCGTGCTGCAGAAGCTCCTAGAAAAATTTGCAGTATTTATGGGGATGATGCCTTAACCGAACCTGTCAAAATTGGTTTGCCAAATTTTATTCAGGAAATTTTGACATCAATGATGGTCAACGGTCTGGTTGCCCACATGAAATTGAAACGAACAATGTTAAGGCCATTGTTGATCAAAATCCCATCCAATCAGTGCAGGAGATTGCTATGGCACTAAATCTTTCGCACGCAAGTGTAGAAAACCATTTGCACAAGCTCGGCTATGTTTCCAAGCTTAATGTTTTGGTCCCTCACATGATTTTTTTTTCTAAAATCACAAAAAATATTATATCTTCAATACGACTTCAGCTATCTACAAGAAATTTAACAGAAATTTAGGGCCACATAAACTACCCAAAATTACATCAACAAGACCTTCATAAACAAACTACATATGGAGATAAAAAATAAAAATCTATAAGGAGTTTTTTTTTATTTATTCCTTATGTAGGCATTAAATAAAAACACTATTCATACTGCTTTGAAGAGCAATAATTCAGATTTCCAACGGATATAGTAATTTATTTATTTTTGTCATATTACTGTTGTCAGTAAATAATTTGTTGTTTTATGTAACAGGCGTTAATTATTCTTTCTCTATGTAAATTTTTTATTTGTTTACAGCTGGAATATGTCGCTAAGCTTAAAGCTAATCTTCTTCTTCAAAAAGCTAAAGCTGTAAGGCAAGAAGATGATGACGATATTAAATTGTGTAATAAGCTACTTCTCGGGACGAAATGCCAAGCAATAAGGGATGCTCAGATAATGGAAAGAAAACAGATACAGTAATTTTTACTTTATGAATTTCTATTGATCAGTTATATTAATAATATTTATATAACATTTTATTTATGTGTGCTTCATACCTGAGTTATGCTATTGGGAACTTGCATGAAAAAAAAATCATATCAATTTGAGTTGCAATAAAATTCAAGTAATAAAGAATGCATCTAACATTGAGATCAAACTTTTTAAATGATAAAAAAAGGTTTATATTTAACTAAAACTTGGAATAACAGCGCATCTCAGAAGTGTGGGGGGGACTGAAGGTATATCTGCATCCAATATACCATGACATATACCACTGCCAAACACAGTGATATTAAACATCTCTTAGCTCTATCTTCTTAAACATGATTTATTTATTTCCTACCTATACTAGGTAAGGAAACTATTGCAATCGGGGCAAATTTTCGATATGCGGTTTTTGACGGATCTATACGTTTCAGAGCCCCCTGAGCCCGAAAAACTCATTTTATTTCAGAATAATTCTATTCAGATATGACAGGATTAAATAAAAAACGAAAACATATTTTTTTGGATCGAAGTTTTGAAGCTAGAAAAAATATTCTTTATTGCATACACTATTGTATGGTATACAGAGCGTTTCTTGGGATCTTGAGGTAAAACTCAAACGTTTGATGAACTGCTTTGTACGATTCATCTTTGGGATCTCGAGGAACGCCTCTCTCTCTCCTGTTTTTATGAAGAGTTGAAGTGAATTTATCCTTCCTCTTGTAAATAACCTACTGAAAATCAACTTTAAATGATTTATTTTGGCGGGAATAGGCGAATAGCCTTCCGCTTTTATTGGAGATCTAGGTTATTTACACTCATGAATATTAAAACAAATCCCTGGCAGTGGATATAGACTTTTGAGGGTGTTTAACTGTCGTTGGGAATTCGGGAATCAGTACCTTTTGTGACATTGAGTGAGAAGAAACAATAAGAATATATATTTGAAATGTGGGACTTAGTAAATACACTTTGAATGAACAGACTCACCTGGTTTGTTATTCTTCAATTGTGAGGCCTATAGGACAACTAAATAAAATGACTTTCACTCCTGTATAATAAAACAATTTATTTTATAACTGAAATAAATGAATGTATAAAAGTCTTATAACTGTAGCCTTGATATTCTTGGTCTTCAATGTAGTAGGCCTGTCTTCCCAGATGACTTCCTCTCGCCTCCGTCCTTTTGCCTCAAGTGCTTCCTCTCTTCTCTTCTGACAACCTCCTTTCTACCTGTCCCGGCCTAGGATGCCTTCTCTTCTCTCCAGCTTTTGCTACCTGCTGGATCCTTTCGGTACCTCCAACCTTCTTCCTTCTTCATCGATTATTTATCGATAAGAGACTTTTCAATGAATAATTTGTACACTGTACAATTGAGTACAATTCACAGTGCAACCTCACATTCCTATATGTTATATATTCCTTCTCATACCCTCACACACTGTCATCTAAAGGAGTAAATACAGGGGGATGTCTACTACACTCTTCCAAGCCATCCAATCCCTCTTTCCATTGCATATTCTGAGCTCCTTTAATTCAATTCCTCTGTTCACTCCCGCAATCCCTGTTTCTGTTCTTCAGATTTATATATAATGGTTCACCGAACTCCAGCTTTCAACAGATGTTTCATTCATTAATTTAGTTCGGTCCTCTTTCCTATGGAATTCCTTTCCCTCCTACCTTCGTCTCTCTAATAACCTTAATCCCACCTAGTCTTTCACTTCCTATCCATCCAGTTCCCAAACAATTATAAATAGCTCTTTCTGTAAATATATATATATATATATATATAAATTATTGATGTGTTTTTAAGTTGTTATTTTTTTTATTCATTTATGTTAGAGTTAACTTAATTAATTAACGGTTCGACAGGTGCCTGAAGCTGCCCTTGGCCCTCTCAACTGCCCTTTCCCAATCATTTCGGTCAGCAGCATGTCTGCTGGATACTGTCACCATCATAAAGTCCTCAGCCATGGAGTCCTTCCACCTTCCCTTAGGTCTTCCACGTGGTCTGACTCCATCCGGGGTTCTATAATATAATTTCCTCATGGCTCTACCTTTATCCATTCTGATATGTCCCAGCCATTTCAAGCATTGAATACGCACGAAATGAGAAAATTGGAGATCGTTGAATAAGTCGTAGATCTCTTTGTTCTTCCTTAAACGCCATGTACCATTCTCTCTAACTGGCTCCATGATGCGCCTCAACACTTTTCTTTCAAAACTATCAATCTTTTCAGCCAGACTTTTGCGTAGGGTCCAGGTTGCACTGGCATAGGTCAGCACAGGTCGGATGATTGTTTTGTATATAATAATTTTGGTATCCCTACTTAGTGGTTTACTTCAGAGGAAACTTCTTAAGGCAAAATATGCTTTGTTAGCCCACATTACCCGATTTTGAATTTCTTCTTCTTCGTCAACCTGATCATTAAACTGGAGCCGAGGTACTTAAAACTGAAACGCATATTGTCCCACTAAATAATGCTTAGGCGAATTTATAGATGGTTTCTTCCTGATCACCATAATTTTTGTTTTTTCCTCATTTATGGATAGCCCCATTCTTCCAGCTTCTCTTTGCAACCTTTCACAGGCCTCCTTGGTTGCCTTGAGGGACAGTCCAATCAGTGCCACATCATCAGCATATCCAAGCACTTGAGTTATTTTACTAAAAAAGATGCTCGACTGACTAAACTCTGCTCTATTCACCACAACTTGGAGGGCAGTGTTAAATAGAAGTGGAGAAAGGGGGTCACCCTGTCTAGAAGACATTTTAATATAGTTAATGATGTGAGATCATATAGGGGACTAGACATCTCTTCTGATCATTTTCTGGTAGTTACAAAGATCAAACATGCATATAGAGTTAACTTATAATTTTTTAATATTTCTATTTGTCTATTTTATTATTCTTTTTATAAAACTCTGAGGTTCTATAGTCCAAAAGCATATTTTTTTTTGTTATTCTAAAGGGACAAATAAAGCATAATATTATTATTAATCTAAGCTAAAAAGTATAAGATAGACGGAAGTATGGGATATGCGTTGGCACGGCATGATGTAGCCAGGTCTCCACTCTTTAGGCGTAGGTCCTTTATTACTACTGTTTAAAGGACCTTAACTCTAATTATCTTTGCAAATATGCATCAGAAAAATTCTTTACTTTTTGTGTTTTTATTGTTGTAACAATCTTCACCAACAATTAAAAATTTAAAATTCATGCAAGTATATATATATTGTAACATCCCTCTTTTATTTGATAAATAATAATATAACCTTGGAAGCTCACTTCTTACCATTGGGATACTTCCTAAATAAATAAGAGGTTGTTAAATAAAAGACAAAATTATAAGAGAATTAATATATTTATTTATCTCAGGTGTGGGTTACTGACAATCAGATCAACTCAGACAAACTATTATTATTCACACTATTTATACTAAAATTAAACAATAATTTTAAAGTAAAGTCAAATATGGATTTGCAAGCTAACCTTTTTTTATATTATACGTTTCTTCCTTTGTGACACTGAACTCCTTTGCTTTCAAACACTCCAAAGTTCTGCCAAACGCAACTTCCAAAATGGTAATACTATTTAAAGGGTTTTACCCACTGGAGCCAGATCCCTTCTCCTATCCTTTCTTCTCTCCAGCCAAACATCAACAACTGTCCGCTAAAACAAAAACCTTTGTCCCTCTCCTCTTTGGGATTTTTCTTCTTGAGAAATGACAGAGTAGCCATTTTCTTTTCCCTGCACTATTAGAACTAAATTAGCTTGCCTTTTAATTGTTCAACATTAATTTATTAAATCAATTTTACCCACTTCCAATAAAGGTGTATTTTACAATATATATATATATATATATATATATATATATATATATATATATATTTATATATATCGGTGTATATTACCCATGTAAGTATTATAAATTTCTTATTAATATAATAAATAAATTATAAATATTATATCAAAGTATTATAAACATAATTTGAAAAGCAAATGCTGTCCTCATATATATATATATATATATATATATATATATATATATATATATATATATTATATATATATATATATATATATTATATAGTATATAATATTTATAATTTATTTATTATATTAATAAGAAATTTATAATACTTACCCATATATATATATTGTAAAATACACCTTTATTGGAAGTGGGTAATTTGAAAAGCAAATGCTGTCCTCATATATACTATATATATATATATTGTAAAATACACCTTTATTGGAAGTGGGTAAAATTGATTTAATAAATTAATGTTGAACAATTAAATAATATATATATATATATATTATTATTATATATATTTTATAAATATATATATATATATATATATATATATATATATATATATATATATATATATATATATATATATGGGGAGCGGGTAGCTCAGTGGTAGGGCACTGAGCTTCCAATGCAAAGGTCCGAGTTCGAACCCCGGCTCATGGCAGAAAATTTATTTATCTGTTTCATTGGCCGTGGGGCCACCTTGGGTCAGAAAGTCCCTCCTGGGGCACACCCAGCCTCTATAAAGTGGGTACCCTTAATTAAAATAATTAATTAAGGGGGAAAACATGGCGGTGGGGGCGTGATCTCGGTCAAATCACCTCCTTGCACAACCGTTGACCTAGAAACAGTGCTTTCCCTAATTAGTACTGAACCCCAGATCCTTCATGGGTTGTAGTGGTACAGGTTTTTTTTTATATATATATATATATATATATATATATATAGTATATATGAGGACAGCATTTGTTTTTCAAATTATGTTTATAATACTTTGATGACATCAATTAGGGCCTTAAAATACAGAACCCGATGAATTTCATGAGAACGTTCAGTTCTAGTTCTTGATGGCCTTGTCTAAATCTTTTAAATTAAACTTCCCCATCTTGATCTTCCAAATTTCCTTTCTTTTTTTTTTAAGGGAAGAATTGGAACAGGAAGAAAAACGTCTTGAGGAAATGATGGAACATGAAAGGCTAAAGAAGTTAGCCAGAGAAAAGGAAGAATTCCTCTTACGGCAGAAGAAAAGGGAAGAATATATTTATAGTCTTGATGAACAAGTAAAAAGGAATCTCTTAGAAAGAGAAATGGAAGCAGAAAAGCAACTTGAGGTAATTTATACAGAATTATGTTTGAACTGGTCTATAGTTTAGTGTCTTAAATTCATTTTAATATACTAGATTAATTTTATGCCTCATAGTCCGTGATACAGACCCATTTTTGGTCTAACTTTTATTTTTTTGGTATGTTATTACTTTATTAATCCTTCATCAAATCCAAAGATTGAGCCATCATTTTGTAGATTTCCTTCCCCTGGTGGGAAAAATAGTCAATCAACCCAAAAATTCAGGCAAAAAAAATAATATAAGCTTTGATAAATAATATAAACTCAGCCTCTCTCGATCATAGGTCTCTCAAGCGACATGTATCCCATGGGTACATTACATTAATGTGAGGTTTTGCGGCTGTAAACTCTTTGCCTTACGCCTTACACTATCTTGAAAGTGGTTCATTTTGAAGGAACTAACTGGACCTTGAAGTCCGTATCAAAATCTTCAAATTCCACTTTGTCCCGTCTCAATCCACCAACTTATCACAGTAATAAAGCCTAGTGAAATTTTTATTTCAATTTTATTTATTTTATAAAGAAAAATAAAAGAGGAGAGTATGATCCACATATCCTTTCTGAAATTTCAAAATCCAACGGTACCCCATTCACGGTATTTGAGCATGACAGAAGTTTGGTACAAAACCAATTTTGAGTTGTAGTGTAGTAATATTTGTGTGGATTTTATTGGTTTTAGATATCCTTCACCCAATCTCTACATTTGTAAAACATTATTACATATATTTTTATTTATTTATTTATTTTTTTTGTTTATAGGAAGCAATGATTTTAAACGAAGCTGTGATACAATCTAAAATTGATTACTTGAAGCAGGAAGAAGAAAAAAAAATGAGAAAAGATAAAATAAGAAAGGAAATCCATAAAATGAACGAGCAAGTTCTAAATCTTTTAGATGAAGAAAAAGAAAAAGCAAAGCTTGCTGATCTAAAGGTTATAATAAGTATATATATATTTTATCCTATGTTATAATTTTCATAATTTTTTTTATTTATCTTGGAAAACAATAATTTATATTTCTGAATCTATTCGAGCTCAGTAAACTGCACCTTAGTAAAGCATATCTGTCTTAGCCTGCATTGTAGTATAAAAGAATATCCAGTGCTTGTCCACATAAGTGAAAAGATTCCTCAGCTACCACTCCACAAATAGCCTAAGAGTTCATTTCTATTTAGTCCTAGCAGCCACTTGATTATAAGAAGGTTTTTTTTTATTAAATGCTAGACCTGTCTTAGTTATTATGCAAAATATTTCCTATATTTCTGTAAAAGGAGCTTTCAATTAATTTAACCTTATAGTAAGGTTTTCACTATTTTCACAGCGGTTAGACATGTGGGAACAATTAAGGCCTGGATTGTTTTTTTAGTGTAAATAACCTAATAATGTTTAAATGTAAATAGTTAGTTTAGACGGGAATAGGCGAATAGCCTTCCGCTTTTATATCAGGGAACTAGGTTATTTACACTCGTGAATATTAAAACAAAACACCGGCACTGGATATTGACTTTTTGAGGGTGTTTAACTGTCGTTGGGAATTCAGGAATCTAATACCTTTTGTGACACTGAGTGAGGAGAAACAATAAGAATACATATATGAAATGTGGGACTGAGTAAATACACTTTAAATGAATTGACTCACCTGGTTTATTATTCTTCAATTGTGAGGCCTATGGGAAAACTAAATAAATAAATGATTTTTCACTCCTATATAATAAAACAATTTATTTTACAACTGTAATAAGTGAATCTATTAAAGTCTTATAACTGTAGGCTTGATATTCTTGCTGTTCGATGTTCTGCCTCTCTCATCTCAGGTAACGTCCTCTCGCCTCCGTGTCTCAGCCTCAAGTGCTTGGCGTCCTCTTCCAGCTGTTGCTGCCTGATCGGACCTATTTCCTTCTTCATCGATTGTTTACTGATATGAGATTTTTCAATGAATAATTTGTCCACTGCACAATTGAGTACAATTCACAGTGCAACCTCACATTCCTATATATTATATATTCCTTCTCATACCCTCACACAATGTCACATAAAGGAGTAAATACTGGGGGATGTCTACTACATGAGTTTTCCTAACCAATAACCTATCAAACATGTTTTAAAGGGCATGGACCCCTTTGCATCTTTGACAAAGTAATGATAAAGAATTATTATTATCGCTTTATATGTTACCTATAATTTCCTTTCGGACCCTTTATTAAGTTTACTTCAAATACTGTTACTAATCTCTCTTATAAAAAAGTTTTTAGGGACCAATATTAAATTTTATATATAAGTTAGAATTTACGCAGAATACCGCAGCTGAGCGGCTTTCCAGATACTGTGCCCTAATCTCAAGTAACATTTTTTTAAACTGTTATGTGAGTTTTCGACTATTCTCTTCTTTAAGAATTTCTGTCTTTCATACACCTTTTATCATTTTTATAATTTTTAGAATGGGGGTTGGACCATAGTTAGGTGGATATGCCTATATATACCTTCTTAATTAAAAACAAAAGAAAATATTGGTGTAAAAATAAAGTATTTTAGTCAGGGAATAATTCTGAATCCATTTTTATTAATTATTTAAAGATTCAAGAATTAATGAAGAAGAAAGCAGCGGAGGAACAAAAAAGAGAAGAAGAGCTATTAAGAGAAAAAAAAGAAAGAGAAAAGGAGCTAGCAAAAATGAGGAAAGCTCAGCAGTCACACTCGGACGATATAGAAAAAAGGGAAGCGGATAGGGCTAAGAGGATTCAAGAACAGGTAATGCGTTGACTTGGTTTAGAACATATAATTAGTTAAGATATGTTGTGATCATTTGCACAAGTAATCATGATTAACTAAGTAATAAAATGTTTTACATTCCTCACAAGGCCACATTATGAAATTCACTTGTTTAATGCATTAGTTTTTTTAAAATTCTATGGAAATCATATTGTATAGTGTCAAATAATAACATTAATTTCCAACAGTATGAAGAACAGTGGAGAAAAAAGGAAAGGAAGGAGTATGAAGACAAGGTCAAAGCAAATGAAAAATTAAAAGAAGATAGAAGGCTACAGGTAAATATTTTATATTTGTTTTATTATTATTTCCGTGCCATGGAAGAAAAACTTGTCAGTCCAAAATTTTGAGAAATTATATGATCAAATCAGTTTAGGATATTCATTAATCCTAATAACCTTATAAGATAACTACTTATTTTTCTCTAAAAAAATACAATTCAGTGACACTGGCAGATGAAAATTCCTCCCTCAGCGTTCCTTGGTGTTGTTTCAATATGATTTCCGACTGATTATTTTCTCTTAGTTTTGCTTTATGAACAAGGCAATACATATCTCGGAGGAGGACATGATGATGAAATACATTGGGGCGGTTGTTCCATAGTGCCTGGTCGAGAACACTGAGGGTTCAACTACCACTAAGTAGTCATTCAATATTTCTTCCCTTGGTGGTCCCAATGAATGAATCTTGACATTTCCACTCTGCTTAGCACTTGGCAGCAATTTCTTGTTAGATTGGCAAAGAGAACCACAAGGCCTACATACCAGATTGGTTCCCATCACCAGTCTCACCATATCTCTGAGATAGGCCTTGAAATGCACACTGCCTAAAGGTCTACACAGCTTAACGCATCCCGTAATGACCCGCGTAATCACAATGTCTCACGCCTAAGTACTCGAATGTCTCACATTGTCACATGGGCGTATCTACAGGGGGAGGGAGAGGACCATGTTATATAACCATGTTTTATGGAAAAAAATATTAAAAACTTATCTCTTAAAATATTATTGTTAGTGTAATTACATTTAAAAGGACTTTAGGAATCACTTAAACTCCATTTCATATAGGTAGTTAGTTTCTTTCCAAAGTAATTATCGTTATTTTTATGAAAAAAAAAAGCTTTCAATCTGAATCCAAAATTAAATCCTGGATCCGCTAATGCATTGTAATAATGTCTCATGTTGTTACTATTGCCATTTTTGTAATTACTGCATTATTCTATCCTTATTTAATATATTTTGCTCAAATTTTGGACATAAACCCCTTTTTGTTCCAAAGTACTGATTTATAGAGGTTCATTAATTTTACTATTGTTATTTCCTTAATTAGTACAGATAGAGAGAAGTTTGATAATAGAATAGTTCCATGGGAAAAACAAACTAAAAGAAATTAAGCTGCAAAAGAACTCAAAATAGAACATTAATAAGATTTAAATTGCACTTTTTAAATAATTGGAGTCTTTGAGGGGACTGGAGGCGTGGCCTGAATCTACTGTATATGACTCCCAAACACAATACTCTTAAACCTCTCTCTGCTATAGTTTGTTAACATGTATTTATTAAAGTTCATAAAATACATTTTAAACTAAATATTTCTATTCAGAGATGGCATGGTGAGAGAAAAACAGAAAGATATTTCTTGAACGGAAGTTTTGGAATCAGGAAACACTATTTTAAGTTAAAATGTATATGATGGCCAATGCCATGACCCTGACGTAGCCTTGTCTCCTTCTCTGAGATGTATTTTGATGACCAAATGCATTTTTGCGTTTTTATTCTTATAACTTAATGTTTTTTGGTGAGTAAAAATTGAAAATTCATCTGAGCACCCAATTGGCAAAAAAAAGTTTTTATTTTTGTTATGTATAATTAAAAATAAGGACTGTTTAAACTGAAAATAAATAAATAAAAGTTCTTATTTAAATAACAGACAAAATTCGTATGATATGGATTAACAAAGGGGCCAGAAAATATCTTGAAATTATGAGGAAATTAAAGCATGTAATTTAAGTGAAAACATTTTCAGCCAATGGCTTTAGTTAATTAAGGAAGTAGAAATCAGTAATATGATTAAATTTTTTAAATGTATTAATTCTCATTCATGGTAAATAGATTTTATTTTAATAATAAATAAGCTCTTTTAACATAGTTAATTAATATAATCAACAAAAATAAAATTAAGAAAAATAATTTAAAAGATACTAATTTTTAAAAAAGACATTATAATATTATAGTTTTTAACAAACAATCGATTCCATTTACATTATTATTATTATACACGAAAATATAATGCTACCTGTTGAAATTTATTTGACTTTTTCATGTTAAATTTTAATTATAGGATAATTGAAAAGATGCAAATTTGAAAAATGTTTAAGATCTTACCTTCCATTTGATTTCAATTAAGTAATTTGTTATTTTAGCTTTTTCTTTTTTAGTTTTTATTTTGTCCCAGTAAGTATCTTTAGATCTATATACAAACTATAAATTAATAAAATATTATCTATAGATTGAAGAAAAACAAAGAGCTCAAGCAAGGGAGAGAGAAAGGGAAATGGAAGAAGTTGCACGACTTCAAATGATGGAAGAAGCCATACGACAAAAGGAAAAAGAACAAGAAGAGGAAAGAAGAAGGGTTAGCTTATATATTATATTTAAATATTTACAAGATAAAACACTTTTTTAAAACAATAATATTATTGAAGCAAATATTTTGAATAAATATTAGATAGTAAATAAATGGTATTATAAGAATAAATATTACAATATTTTGAATCAGTAAATTAGAAAAAGTTATTTTAATTTTACAGGCAAAAGAAGAATACAAGGCTCAATTATTAAAACAGATGAATGAAAGAGAGAAAGAACGAATAGTCAAAAGAAAAGAAATATTTGAAGATGGAATCGTTGAAGAAATGGATTTCAAAATAAATCAGCAATCTTTAAAAGACAATATGAAGAGGAAAGTAAACGAAATCAGGTAAATATTCTTCTTGTAATTAATTTGTAGGTTAATTTTAAATATTCTTTTTTTGCGGGAATAGCGAATAGCCTTCTGTTTCTATCAGGGAACTAGGTTATTTACACTCATGAATATTAAAACAGAACCCCGGCACTGGATATAGACTTTTTGAGGGTGTTTAACTGTTGCTGGGAATTCACGAACCTAATACTTTTGTGACACTTGGTGAGAAGAAATAATAAGAATATATATATGAAATGTGGGACTTAGTAAATGAACTTTGAATAAATTGACTCACCTGGTTTGCTATTCTTTAATTGAGAGGTCTATAGGACAACTTAATAAATAAATGACTTTTCACTCCTGTCTAACAAAATTATTTATTTTTACAACTGTAATAAGTGAATCTATTAAAGTCTTATAACTGTTGGCTTGATATTCTTAATTTTCAATTTAGTGCCTCTCTCTTCTGAACACCTCTTTTCTTCCTATCCAGTCCTAGAGTCCTCTCGCCTCCGTGTCCCAGCCTTCTCCTCTCTCCAGCGTCCTCCTCCAGCCGCAGCTACCTGATCGGACCTTTTTCCTTCTTCATCGATTGTTTATCGATATGAGACTTTTCAATGAACAATATGTCAGCTGCACAATTGAGTACAATTCACAGTGCAACCTCACATTCCTATATATTATATATTCCTTCCCATTTCCTCACCCAATGTCACATAAAGAAGTAAATACCAGGGGATGTCTACTACATTCTTTTGCATTAGCTTTTTAGTGTTTTTCAGTCTAGGAGAGTATTTAGTCATATCCACTACTCCTTCCTTGTCCTAGCTAGGATCCGGGCCTTGGGAAGTCTTTACCTTTTTTTCTGAAAAATTATCTCTATATATTCTAGGTATAACAAGCTTGGGCGTCCTTATCTTTTTCTACCATGAGGGCCATTGCCCATTGTCTTCAGTGAGTCCCAATGTCTTCCATTCTCTGATTACATGGACAAATCATTATAATTGGCAGAATTTCTCATTTATTTTAACTCATTTATCAAGTCTAGTTTTAGTTCCTCTGTGATGATCTAATTCTTTCTGTACAGTACTTTGCAGAAATTTCATTTTCACAGCTGTAACTCTACTCTTCTGCCAGCCTTTTATTAACAAACTTTTCAACACCATATAAGGTTACAGGTAGGTGTACGAACTTGTGTGGAGTTTGTTTTACTTATCCTGTTCGAAATTTCTAAATCAACTTTTTCAGGCTTGTTCAGATAAGTGAGCTTCCTCCTATCTCTGCTGATCTTATACATATTCTATTTATTCCATTTAGATACTGCTTGCTGCAGCTTTTCTCCAAAAAAAAAATTCAATACAATTAATTCTTGTGTCTTAATTAGTAAAATAATGCTTATACTTTGTTTCAACGTTTTTTTTTCTCCTGAAATTTCAGTAAAAATAGTTTTTGTTCATTAATATAAATATAGAATTGAATTTCATAGTTTTAATGACACATTAATTTTTATTTATTTTTTAAAATACATATAACAAGAAACAAAATTTTTAGAACAAAAATTGTCTGGCAGGCCTCACAGCTAATCGGTGATTGCCAAGAATGGTTTTATGCCATATTAAATAAAGGCTATTTCAATATGTAACAGAAAAAGTTAAAATAAATTAAACTTTATACTATAGTTTTAATAATGATGTAAAGATGGTTGACCGTGATATAATATGAGAAGGAGTCTGTCGGGGAGGAGGGGGGAGGTGCGATCAAATTAAAAAAAAAATATCATTTTTAATTATTATGCTGAAGTTTCAACTCACCTTGTAAGTCTTCATCAGGAGATGGCATATGGCACTGCAGGAAGCAGTTGATAGACACAAGCGGGATCGAAAAATCGGGGTAATAATTAAAAATAATATTTTTAAAAAATTGAGTATTTGACCGCACTCTCCCCCTCTCCCTCCCCCCTCCCCGACCAACTCTTTCTCATATAGTTTTAATAATATTAATGACGTAATTATAAACATTAATATTTTATTTTGTTTTCAGAACCCACAAGATACCAGAACAGTATATCAAAGATGTGGAGAAGAAACTTCGTACTAAAACTAATTCTGGCTATGATTGATGGTTCCATTTAAATAACATTTGTTTTCTTTTAAAAAGTGCTAATATCAATCTCATAGTATCTCAAACATACATACGTTTAAGTTATAATTTGTGAATTATGACGAATGAAATACATTGTCTTAACTTCTTGGATAGTCAGTCCTTCTGCAACAGGTTTATCGGGTACATAACTATTTATAGGAACATTTAAATAGAATCAGAGTTGTGAGTTGTCCTGTATACCTCATAATACATTAAGGAGAAATTAATATTTCACAACTTGATGAAACACCCAGCTCTTAAAGATATTTTGGAATATATTTATCTATACCAATAATTATTCAATTATTGTCTACTTGACTTCAGTATAAAAATTAAAGGAGTGGGGATAAAAATTAGAAAAATATCTGGTAAAAGCCACATACTACAATACTTGACACTTTTAACTGTAGCACTACCTTCCTATACCAAGCCATTACAACATGGCGACCTGCCTATATTCTACAGATCCTACAATTCAAACGGTCCTTTCAATCTCGTCCCACCAGATCCCGTGCATCCCACCTCTATCCTCCTCCTCACCGAACTGCTGGATTTGATAAATCCTTTTTAATACAAGTTGTCTCCCTCTGGAACTCTATACCTTCAGATATTCAACACGCAAAATCGATATCCTCTTTCAAATCTCTCCTCTTCGAACACCTACTCCATTCCCAATCCAATAGATCACGAAATGCACTTAAAAACCTAAGCTGTAAAAACCTCAAAGTACGCCCAGATACTCTGATTATTTTGTAATTCATCGATATTTTGTTCACTTAATTACTTTCTTTGTATATTTTATATTTACACGTATTTATATCTTTTTATCATTTATAACTTTATTGTACTCCGAATCAACCTGTAAATATTAAATTGTATTTCATGGACATACCAAAATATTAATATATATTCTGTATTTGTGACTTGTCCTAAAGGTCATTCACTAACAATCTTGAAGCTGTTGTATTTGAATTGTTATATTGAATTAAATATACCATTGCCTCTAGTACTGATATAACCAGAAATAGACAAAAAGTACTACTGACTAGTGAGCACTTTACTTAAATTTAATCACTATTTGAGATGATCATCAACTGATATAGTGATTAAATTCCTTGGTGCTATGACAAAGCCAGTAATTGAGTTACATACTTGTTATTCGATATTCAGAGTAGTATTTGTCCGTCACTGCAAACAATAAAATTGACTTACATTCTCTTTGATGCAGTATACTTCCATTATTAACTGTCTTTTAAATTAGAACATTTATTATTAAGAAGAAAAAAGTCAGAGCTGTATTCAAGATTAAAACAAGAATTATTATACTATTTTATTAATTCCAACTTTTCAGACTACTTTTAGAACCTCTTCAGTACTGTAATAAACAATATAGTAGCCTAAATCCTTCTCTAAACTAGGATTAATTTTGAGAGATTATTAAAATTCCTGGATTAGTGTAAGATTATTATATAATCTAAATTGTATAAGTCTTAAATTCCATTAATTTTATATTATAACTTTGCTAATTCCTTTCTAGATATATATTTGGCCCTGAGCAATTACACATAAACACACAAACTTCTTCACCGAAAAAAAAATGTTATTTTGTTGGATATTATTTATTACTATGTAATTGTAATGTTATGTTTATTACTATATAATTGTATTTCATTCAATATTTCTCTAATAAAGTTGCTTTATTAAAAGGCTGAAACTAATTTATTTCATATCCTTAGTATTTATCTATAGTATAGTATCCTTAGTTTTATAATTCCCAAAAAGTGGATGATGTCCAGCTCTGCAGGAGTGAATTTTAAGTTTTATCCAATACCATGAAGTACACTTGTCTGGGAGAGAAAACTTTTAAAAGAGTTACACTTTTATATTTTTTTGTAGTGTTTAATTATTTTATAATAAAAAATAAATTAACAAGCCATACAAATTAAATTCGAAAACTCAGTGAAACCAAACTTCTGTCTTATTCCTATCCAGCATAAAATGTAGCATTGGAAAAGAAGTCTCCTAAATTAAAACTGAAAGTATTGATTTATATATCTATACCCCTGTAATTTAGGTTTAAAATGAAATTGCCACTGACATTATAAAACCTAGTGGAATATTCGATTTAGAAATCTAAGTATTAAGTATTGTAATCGGGTCAAATTTCCTATGGACGGTTTTCAACGAATCTTTAGGTTTCAGAGTCCTTAGAGTCCCAAACACGCATTTTCAGCAGTAGGTCTGTATGACAAACAAAATTTACATCTTGTGCTGTTTTTAACACCTCCAAATATACCAGATCAGAAAATTACTTCCGTATAAATGATTTAACTAAACATTTTGTTTTTTAATCTAGAAGAATAACAGAAAAATAAGATATTTTTTTACTATTAGCTAAAGTTAACCAGAATTAATTTACTTTTGATTATTTATAACCTCTTTGTATTGAAATGTGATAGCTCTTTGGAACAAGTTGGAGGTTTTAGGGTGGTTGTATTGTTGTCCCGCTTTGAGCGTCTTTGAATTATTGTATTAGGTTCATACTCCTCTTTATAACTTTTGTTGGACTCGAAATGGAAACGACACCTGAACCTAGTGCCGTTGTTGCATCTACTCCAGTTCAAGAGAATGTAGCTGCTGTAATAGCGTCCGGTGTGGACACTCCAGGTATTTAAAACCGGGTCTTTTAATATTATCACCATGTTTACTGTATGTTAAATTGAAACTATATGGGTTATTCTTATAGAAATTTTTTTAAATTTGAACTAGTAATGACATTAAATAACTGTCTTCGTCGTAAACGTATGACTTCCTTTAATAACAACCCACTTATCTCTGTTGAACAAATACAATATCTTGGACTCCACCTGGACAAACGTCTCACTTGGAATTCTCATGCAAGACTGAAATGACAAGAAACTGCTTGACGTTTTTGCTTACTCCAACACTTACTAGACAAACGCTCTAAACTTCCAATTAATTACAAAATACTAATATACAGGACTATTCCTATACCTATACCTATTTGGACTTTCAAAGTTGATCCAAAATCCTCAATGCTCCTTACTTTGTCACAAATAAAATAATCCATTATGACCTTAATGTTCCATATGTTTCCGATTTGGCCCAATCCAGATACCTATCATTCCATAATAAACTTCATAACCATCCGAATCCTCTCGTTTCTAACCTTGCTTTCTCTTCGATTCCTAATAACCCTCCAAGGCATCTGAAAAGAAGATGGCCTCGTGATCTCCTTATATAGACTTATTATTAGAGTATTACCTGTCGGTAGTTTCTCAACAAGCGCTTTCAAGTGATTATATTCTTGTGTACACATTTATTTGATGTATTTATATTGTAATACAGTTGTAAATATCTTGAATAAATAGTCAAAAAAAAAAAAAAATCACTGTTGTGTGTGAGTATTAGAGGTCTAAGATCTCATTCTCTTAGTCTCTCACATTTGTTGATTTATAATTGATTTGCCTGTCATCTCAATAGTTCAAAATATTTTGATCATTTAATTTTTGTATTATTAAAAGGTTTCATGTTTTTAATAGTTTTATAAAAACCACTCAAACTTTAGACCAGTTTAGGCATTTGATATCTCGATTTATCCTATTCTTTATACCATTAGGCAGTTCATACTATTCGTTATAATTGCACTCAAAGATACTTGGCACAAATGTGGTATCATTTGGTTGGTTGGTCACACTATACAGGGAATCCTGATAGTGTTTTGAGAATTAAACAATCTTGTAGCTAGCTCTGAGCTTTTGTGGGAAGAAACCATAGAGAATTGATTATATCTTGAGTGATTCTGTTCATCAACAACTGCCATATTCAGAACCAAACCTACAATGTGATTAATGTGATCTTGAACCACCTTTAACCAGACATGACACCTATGAGCTAGTACAATTTAATTTAATGTTAATTATTTGTTTGTTCATATCAGCCATCTAGAATAATTAGGTTAAAATATTATCATAAATTATCTAGGGTAAAAAGGACCCTTTTTTATTTTTTTCTTATGCCTTCTTTAAAATTTATTTTCTAAAATTTTCTATTTTTTATGCAATTGCAGCTGCTGCTTCCCCTGTAGAAAAAACAGAGAATGGCTCTCCCAACAAAAAAGGTTGGCCTAAAGGAAAAAAACGGAAGAAAGCTCAGAAAGATCACACAGCTCCTAGACAACCTCTTACAGGTAAATTGTTATGAGGCTTAAACTTGATTACTTCAACAATAAAGTTATAGTGAACATAGTTTTAGCAAGTTTCTTGAACATTACGAACTAAGTTTGGTTTGAATGTTGTAATACTTTAAAGCTTACTAGGAAATTTAAATAATTCATGATCTATCCTTTAACCCGAGAGCATATTTACTAACCATGTGTGGATTCAGGTACCCTGTCTGAACGTGTATTGGGCCTGAAGAGATTCAGACACCTTTGCGCAAGGGCAGAAGCCTGCTAGGAACTTAAAATGAATCCATAAATGAATAAAATAAATGATCCAAGTTTTAAATGAATCCATAAATATATCACTAAGTTTTAAAATGATGTAACTAAGAGAATATTTAACTACTTCATAATTTTGATTTAATAAAGTGTTAATTTTGTTTTAAAGATTTTTTACTGACTGACAATACTTTCAAAACGCAAGAGGCATAAGTGAATGTTTTTTTTAAAGAAGATTAATAATCAGTCATCGTTGTGTTAGTTCTTATTATTTATTTATTTATTCATTTATTATTATTTTTTTATAGTTAGTACATATTCCTCTTGCCTTTTGACAGTATTGTCTGTCAGTAAAAAATTATTTAAAACAAAATTAACCCTTTATTTAGTCAAAATCATGAAGTAATTAAATATCACTCTCCTAGTTACAACATTTAAAACTTTTGTAATATATATGTTTGTGGATTAATTGTAAACAACTTAAGTACCCGAGTGGTTTCAACGTTGCCCTGAGGTGTCTGAATCTGTAGGTTTTGTAATGGGTCAGTCCCCGGAATCACTCAACTCTATACGAGTTAAGACAGGGTATCTGAATGTGTATAGGGTTTGTATTTGTGTAACCTAGAAATAGGGGTTGACGGTTCAAACTTAATTACCGATTATGTTGTTTCTTGATCAAAGTGAGTTTCTTCAAAACATTTAACCACGTGAACCAGCCTTTTGACTATTCACACTCTGATATTTTAAATCTGGAGAGAACAAGCTAATTCTTTTGTAGCTTTTTTTTTTTTTTTTAGTCTCTTTTTTGACTTCTAAGAACACTGATTGTAACTTGAAACTGATTCATAATTATTGAATTTTATACCTTGTAATTTTTCCTTCTTAGTATCCACTTGGTGCAACAGAACCAATAGATAGTTTCAAAGCTCAAACCAACAAATTTGCTACATTATTATAAAAACTAAACAGAATTTAAAGATTACTTGAAATAAGGTGCTCTGCTTTGAATTATTATGCATTATTAATAAAATATAATTCATATGAATGATAAAAATGAGATACAGTTTATATAAACAATATATCAAACATGACTTTTTTCTATTGAGAAGAAACCATGTAGTTGCTAGTTGTCCGATATTTGAAAGTATTATCTGTAAATATTTAAGGGTTTTCCTTATGAGTATGAGAGAATAAAAATTTAAATGGGTCAGAGTCGCATTGTATGTCGCAGTTGTAGTTGTTAATGAAACATTCAAGTCAAAGCATTTATTGGTTTCAGAATTTAATTATATTGAAAAAAGAATTATAATTTCATTTTACTTACTTGTGATGTTAATCAGTCTTTTTTTGCTATGTTTTTATAAGAAGTTGATTTTTGATTATTTGTTTATTATTTTATGTCCCAATTATATTATAAATAATAAAAATATTTTTATAATAGTGGTTAAATAGTTGACTGTCGTGAATAATGAAGAGAAGAATAGTTGGGATGATCTGTCAAATAAGAAGGTAAAAATAAATGATAACATTTATTTTTGCCTTCTTATTTGACTGATCACCCCAACTATTCTTCTCCTCAAAAATATGTTAAGTTTTCATATATTTTTATTGATTTAATGTTCTCCTAGTAGTTAATACTAAGTGTGTTTATGCTTATTTTTTAAAATTTATATTTGTATAAATTATATATTATTATATATATATATATATATATATATATATATATATATATATATATATATATATATATATATATATATGATGTATATATGTATACATGATTTTTTTTTTTCAGAATTCAGCAAAGATAGATGAATTCATGCATGTTATAATATGCTATATTATACTTTACAATATTTTGTAAACACATTTTTCATTTATTCTTTCATAAATTAGTATTTGTTTTTCTTTGTCACCATTAAATGTGTTATCTTTTTAGGATATGTTCGATTCTTGAACGATAGGAGAGAAAAATTTCGAGCTGAGAATCCTAACATGCCATTTGCTGAAATAACTAAAGTTTTAGCCGCAGAATGGAGTGCACTCCCTCATGACCAAAAACAGGTTAATAATTATTTTTTTAAAATATTGAATACATTTTTTAAAATATTAATATTATTAATATTTTTTCATGTTATATAAAGAATAGCGTCCTCTTTATTTAAATTAATATTTATAGCTGAACTTCTTTACATACTGGAGAGTCTCTATAAAGTGAAATTGTTTAATTTTTAGTAATTTCTATTTACGAAAACTGCTATTTTTCATTATCCCTATACATTATTTTATAAAATTGTTAATAATTAATTTTATAATAAATAAATAAAAGAAATATATGTTTTAAAATTTGATAATTATTTGTTTCAGCAATATCTAGTTGCTGCAGAACAAGATCGAGAGAGGTATCTTCAGGAAGTTGCTGCTTATAAAAAGTCTGAAGCCTATAGGCTCTTCAGTGAACAGCAGGCCTCCAAGAAGCCTAAAGAAGAATGCGAAGAGACTCTTCACGAACCTGAAACTGACGTCTCGGGATATGATATTCCGGTTTTCACAGAAGAATTTTTAGATCACAACAAGGGTAAATCTCTTATTTCAAATACTTTTAATTCTCATTTATATCTTTGATTTTTACCACCTTCTTCTCTTTTTTATTTTTTAGCCCAGTTGTATTCGTATTCAGTTATTATTAGTTTGCAGCAGATATCTACTGTTGCAATGTATTTCATCCTGGCTAGTAAATTTCAATTGTATCCATATTTATTTCTTCTTTTGTTTTTTTCATAATAACGTTTACTGCTGATACATTGATTTTGATTATTAAACTCGATACAAAAATTAACATCCCACCCACCAAACTTGAGTTTCTACACTTAAAGATGCCAAGTTCTACATGTAAAGAAATCAAAATTTGAATTAAAACATTTCTGTTCATCATCCATCCATAAATGTTTCTAGTAGTGAATTGATCGTTGACTGTGGTAAATAATTGAAAAGAAGTTGGTTTGGGTTTTCAGACAAAATACAAAGTAAAAATAAGTAAATTGTATTTATTTTTATCACCTTTGTGCCGACGTTTCGGCCTAAGTTTTAGACCTTCGTCACGGCTAAACAAAGACAAGATAACATGTAACATTTATATATATTTAGAAATGAGATATAAAGATAGAGAGAAAAAAGAGAGAGCGGGGTAGCTCAGTGCGTAAGCAATGCTTCCTAAGCTCAAGGTCCCGGGATCTTATCTGGCTGATGACAAATAATTTTTCATCAGCTGTGGCTAGACCCTAGGGTCAGGAGACCCTCTTGGGCTCACCTAGCCTCTATGAAGTGGGTACTCTTAATTAAAATATTTAATTAAGAGGGAAAATCTGGTGGTTGAGAGTGAGCCACGGGTGGATCACTTCCCTGCTCAACCTTTCGCCTTTAAACAACACTTCCTTACCAAGTATTAAACCTAAAACCCATCGTGGATTTTAATGGTATAGGTTTTATATATATATATATATATATATATATATATATATATATATATTGTAATATAAATATTGCACAGTGATTTTAAATAGTGGCGCGAATGCAGTGACGTCATGAATTACTGTCAAAAATGTACAAAGAGGCGAAGAAAGAGAGATGGAAGGGGAAGCAAGAGCCATATATAGGTCAGAAGGTAACCAGTCGGCGAGTAAAGAGCATCAAGATCAAGAAAAAGTGACCATTATTTACCAGGCTAGGAAAGATCATCGAGTCACACAGAGAGTGACGGGTGACTAACTAGTAGTGAATGGCTAGACAGGAAAATAGAATGTTGTAGAAGTTAAATACAATACAGAGGAAGGTTCACTGGAGAACTGGTTGTGCGAAATATAAATAGTGTCAATTAGAAAGCGAGCCAAGAATAGACACCGACAAAATGAATGGAAATTCATAAATGTTATATAAAATTAATTTATGCTTTTATAGTGTATAATTGAGGAATGTGTGTTTGTTGTCTCAACCCAACCTGAGTAATAATTTAAAATAATTATTGTGTAAAATAAAAATAATGTGGTTCAGAAACTGTTTACTTTTCAAAGGAAACATAACCTAACAATATATAAAAATAGATTGATAATAATGGTATATTAATTAAGTACGTATAAAGGTTAGCAAAGTTAGGATATATAATATTATGGTAAAAAAGTTAGAGACTTATTAAATAATGGAGCTGACTTCGGAAGTTATAAAATAAAAGTAGTACAGTGTAGAAAACCGCATTTTAAATGAAAAAATGGTAAGAAAAAGAGTAACTTTTTCTGATAACACTGGGATTTTTTTTCAATTTGGCACTTATGTCACATTCGGACCAAGATGATCCTTGTAGAACACTGTTGCCATTCACCATATATTTTTTTTAATGACAGCTTTAGAAATTTTATTAGTAACTCACCTCAGCCATATGTGAAGATAGAGAAAAAAGTGTAATGTTTGGGAATGGTTATACTCTGAATAAAGGAAACAAATAGTTTCTTTTTATTGTTAGGGGTATCTATTTGGAAATAATAAACCATTATTATTAGTAGCGATTTTAATATAAATAAATTTTACAGCCATAATTAAATTTTATTTTTTATTTTAGCATATACATCTTTACAAAAATGTTTCTAGTTCGTAATTTTCACTAAAACTCTTGGATATCTTGGGAATTTTACTGAAATCATTTGATCTCATAGCTACTTTTTGTTATGATGTAGAGATGGTTGACTGTGATATAATATGAGAAGGAGTTGGTCGATGAGTGCGGTCAAATAAATACTAAATTTAAAAAAAATAGTATTTTTAATTATTACGCCGACATTTCGACCCTCATTGCAGGTCTTCATCAGGGTGTGGCATGTGCCACTGCAGGAGGCACATGATGAAGACCTGCAATGTGGGTCGAAACATTGATGTAATAATTAAAAATACTATTTTTTTTTAAATTTAGTATTTATTTGATCGCCCCACTCCCCCCCCCCTCCCCGACCAACTCCTTCTCATACTTTTTGTTATATTTAATGCTTGCCTTGAAGAGTACTATAGTTATGTATTTAGACCAGTTATTATTCGACATAGGAAAGGCTTATTGTTATTAATTATTTTTATTTTTTTCCTAACAGCCCGTGAAGCTGAACTGAGACAATTGAGGAAGAGCAACACGGATTATGAACAGCAAAATGCAACCATACAGACCTATATCGCTGGGCTGCATAATGCTATAGAAAAACTTTCTGTAGAAACGCAACAGCAGCGAAGTAATAACAATGCATTAGAACAGCATTTGCAGCATCTGCGTACAGTTTTCACTGCTGCCTTTACTCTCATCCAAGTTCCAGGTACTGCATATTTGTTATTTATAGTTTACTTTACTTTTTTTTATATTTATGTTTTTCATGTAGTTTAACTTGTTATCGAACATTCGTTTATATTTTTAAGGCTAAATACCTGTAAAAATTATTTGAAACGTTCATTCAGAAAATCACATGCTTCACACATTTTGGTACTTTTCCGTATGGCTAAGCACTGGCCTAGCTCATACTGTTGAATATTTTATACTTATTAGCTCTCCCAGCTTCATTCATTAATTGATATAGTGAAGTAAAAACTTCATTTGATATAAATCTAAAATATTGTTCACTCTATACCTCAATATCTTTAGACAATTATTGTTAATTTTAAGTGAACAAATGCTCTTTTGCTAAACTTTTTAGGATTATATTTGGCAAAAGTAAATGCTTTATTTTAAAGGCTCTGATTATCACATAGCAAATTATTGAAATTTATCGTTAATGTTCCAGGTTTAGAACCTCCAACCATCAGTAACATTGACGAATACGTCGTTAAACTGACAGCGTATGCTAGAGAGGAACCGAACAATCCTGTTATTACTACATTAAAGAACACCATTAGCCAGTTAGACGTACAAGCATGACCCAGAATTATTATAAAAAGAAAACTATTAAAATCGAAAAAACATTCATGATCTGTAGTTTCTGCGAAACTATAGTACTATGAAAAAAAAATTTTTTTTTTCTTTCTTAATCTTAAAATTCCATTGTAAAGTGCATTATATTTTGAATGCAGTTTTATTAAATTTTATATCTTTTGGTTAATACATTTAGTGTGAGATTTATTGAAATCAATAATAAGGTTATTTCTTAAATTGTATTATGAAAGTATATCTGTTTACGATGGACAACTTCCCATTGATCCATGGTTTTAATTATTGTAATATAAGTAATTATAGATTAATTTTCATTTTAAATGGTGTATATATTTTCTTAGTTTGAAGAAACTATTTTTTTTTTCTAATCATTGAACTTGAATTATAATTCATAGATAAAACAATATATGCTATTTATTTGCATCGTAATTAGTAGAGTCAATGTAGTAATATTCTAAAAATATTTAATATTTTGCTATTGATTATAATATGATTATTAAATAACTTAGTGATCAGATTCCAGATTTCAATTTATTATTATTTATGAGTTTTTAAATATAATCGTATATTATTATTGAATTTAAGATACTTAATTATATGCTCTGAAATGTTACATCAGGAGCTGTGGATAATATATTGTATATTTTTAAGAAAATGAATTAAACTTTACTTCTTTTTTAATTTTTAATGAAAAAAAAGGCTACAATTTGTTTTTTTCAATAATTATTTTTTAATTTGTACTGACTCAAAAAACTATTAGATGTGTTATAGCTATTTTACAACATTTTATTGATGTACTTATCCTTACTCTATTTAGATATCATGTTCCTAATCTCTTGTGGATCTGGTCCTTTGAGGATTCATGTACCATTTACATCTGTTGTAGATATACGAAAATATAACATATTTTAAAATTTACATATCTCTAAAGTTCTCAATCATTCAATCCCATTATTCTTAGCATTTACTATGTTTTAAATCTATATAAGATATAAATTAGGGATAGTTTTGTTATTATAAAGGATATTTATTTTCTCCACGCTTCTTGCTCATTTGTCTAATTTAACAAATAAACATGCGTAAGTTATAGGTTATTGAAGAGGATGCTAGGCTGAAGTCGGGAAATGCTTGTTATTTTTCTTTATCAAAATTACTTAGTTCTCGCCTCCTGTCCCGAAACTTAAAAATTAGAATTACAAAACGATTATCCTACCTACAGTTCTGTACGGATGCAAAGGGATGAACAACGGCTTAAAGTTTTTGAAAATAAAGTATTGCACAGAATATTCGGACCGAAAAAGGACGAGTCAACCGGAGAATTTAGGCGGTTATACAATGCTGAATTACGTGTATCCAGTCAATATAATTGAGGTGATTAAGTTGAGGCGAATAAAATGGGCATATAAAATTGCTGGGCTCAGTAACGAAAGAATTCCTAAAAAGTTAATATGCGCTGTACCGACTGGCCAGCGTCCGAGGGGTAGACCAAAGTGAAGGTGGGAAGATTGCGTTAAGGCTGATTTAGAAGTGTTGGGTTTAGACGGAGCCCGGTGGATGGAAGAATGTGGACATCGATTAGTGGTATCGGCATCGAACCTTCGGGTTCACTAAGCCTTATTATTTAAGTTATAGGTTTCTTTATTAATTTTATTTGGACGTTTCAGTGATATTTTGCCCTTCTTTTCAGCATATCACTCGCCAGTATAGGGTTATTCATACAATACATCGATACAACACCATTATATACAATACAAATAAGAAATGAGAATTCAAGTTCTGGAACTTTGGAGAAGTCGAGGAGGACAAGGACAATTAATTTTTTTTTCGTCAATAACAGCCTGGACATCGCTGATAATTTTGATTAGGGTTGATTGCGTGTAGTAACTGGGGCAGAAACCTGATTGGAGAGGATCGAGTTGGTTGGATTCTTCAAGGAAGTTGGAGACTTTGGATTGCACTATTCTTTCCTCATAGGTTTTGAGAGGTTGGAAAAGATAGAGATTAGACAAAAATCTTGCCTTGACACAGGGGTTTAATCAATATGGCCAGTCATCAATAGCATCATACAGCACTTCTTGAGGAAAGCGCTCAACTGCATGGACCAGAGATTGTTTGAGGCTTTCCAAGTTAGGGTGTGCTCTGTGGCATGCCATCCTCTCCAGTTCGGACCAAAGCCGATAATCTAGTGGATTGAGATCAGGGCTTCCTGAGGGCCAATCCGAGGCAGAAATGAACTCTGGAATGTTCTTTTGCAGCCACTGCAGAGTTGACCTGGCCTTGTGAGCTGTAGCGGAATCCTGCTGGAAAACCCAATGACTTCCAGCAAACAGTACCATTTATAGGCTTGACAACAGGTTCCAAAATATCATCCTGATAGTTTTTAGCGCCTGTTTTAACTTGCTTTACACAAAAATGGAGCTTTATGGTGCCATCAAAGCAAACCCCCAACAAACAATCACTGAGGAAGGATGACGACATCTTTACACTACCAATGAGTCCCTGGGCTTCTTTAGAAATGTGTGCATTCACGCAATCATTTTGGCGATTAAATTTTTCTTCGATTATAAAAATTTTCCCATAGCTAAACAAAATCATTCGATGAAGAACATTGGTGTGATACAAAATAATTGGGATTATTGTCCTGATATCACATATAGAAAATAACCTGATAGAGGTAAGGATTTTCTAAATAATACCCAAGAAACAAAGTTAAACTCTTGCAACAGTATTTATAGCAGAACTAGCTTTGTATATATATATATATATATATATATATATATATATATATTTACAAGTTTTCCTTAATCGACCTTTGAGTATTAAATTTAAACATAACTATTTAATTGGGAATAAGGTCACTTAATTATTATTTAATAAACTACTGAATGTTCATTTCCTCTATGTTTCTTGACGTTTCGATCCCGGTATTTTCTTTTTATAAGTCAACGATGGGATCCTCTTCAAAGCTAGAATTTAAAAAAATAGAGCTTCGATTAGGCCAGGGACACACCGACAGTTTCAGCACAGTCCACTAGCACATATATTAAGCTAATCTGTTATTTATACTACTTTTTTAAAATTCTAGCTTTGAAGAGGATCCCATCGTTGACTTATTAAAAAAAAAATAATACTGGGATCAAAACGTCAATTAACATTGACTCCCTGCACAAACGTTGGCCAGGTAACAGTACTTCCTCACATTGTACTGAACCCAAGACCCTTCATGGGTTGTTAGTGGTACAGATTTTTTTATAATATATATATATATATATTTATATATATATACATATATACATATATAATTCAAGGTATAATTAAGTGCGATGTCCAAAAGGATTGATGAGTATGGTAGTAGGGCAACGCTGCTTTAAATAATGTATTTTTCTCTATATAGAAAGGTTGCGATGGAAGTTAAAAACCTATAAATATTGAATGAAGACCTTTCATTTCATTTCAGGCTTCCTTCTGGGCTAAGATTAATAAATGAATCATAAAGTTGAGAAATACAATAAGTCACATTTTGGGATATTTAAAATTTGTGTGTTGAGATGGTTAAGTGTTTTTGGAGAATAATTCTATGAGCAGTGGTATATGTTGGGCCTTATTTTTTATAAAAGGAATATCTTTCTCAACCGATTAAAAAAAATATAGTATGGCATATTTTAGCAATGAACTTATCATTCAATTAAAAAAATAATCCCCTTTGATCCTAGGATATCAACAAGCCCTACAACCAGAAAATTTGAAAATTTTTTCCGATATCTGAAACAACATAATTATTACCAATATACTTATACCATACAATAATTATACACTTACTTAGTATGTAAAATCAGAACTAAACTATGCAGCTGTTACAGTTACTACAACCTTTATAGAAATATCTTAACATCATACCCACATCTAAAACAACATAATCCTATCAGACTTATTGCAATAAGGTGCTTCTAACTTTTTTACTTGCACACGGCAACCAAAATATAACCAAATAAATAAATTTAAAAATAAATGAAGCTTGTTTGGAATCCAGGGCAAAAAAAAGTTGCCTCTATCTAAAAGGTGATACCTTTCCTCTCTTTTCTTTTTTAAAAATTTAGCAATTGTGCTTTGAGGTCTGGTTTACAACTCTTAACTTCCACTTCTTCTTTAGAGTAAGATATCTTTTGCAATATCCTGGCATATGTTTTTTTTTTTTTTTTTTTTTTTTTATTTGGTTTTTATACAACTTAAGGAGTCATATCCCCAACACCCAAAAGCCACTGCTCCCTGTCCATCCAATCTCCTTCACGAAGCCCTCTTGCTCCCATGCTTTCCTCCACGTCCTCTATCCATTTCTTCTTTGGCCTTCCATGCTTCCTTCTTTCAGGTGGCATATAGTTATAAATTTTCTTTGGCCAGCAGTTCTCATCCATCCGCATTAAGTGGCCATACCGCTTTAACCGTTTGGTCCCGATCAGGTGAAGGATGTTTTTTTGACATCCGACCTTGTCTCTAATAGCTGCGTTTGGGATCCGCTCGATCCTGGATATGCCACAGCTTCTTCTCCAGAAATCCATTTCCATGGAAAGCAACTTATTTTCCATCTTTTTTGTCAGTGTCCAGACTTCTGATCCGTAAGAGGCTACGCTTTCTACAAAGGAATGGTATATCTTCTTTTTAGTTTCTAATCTTATTTCTTTACTCCATAGGGTTGAATTTATCGAACTTATTATTCTTTTCCCATTATTTATTTTATGTTCGATATCAACCTCACTACCACCCTTTGAAGATAACCAGTATCCGAGGTACTTGAACTGCTGGCTGACATTTAGCGTCCAGTCATCAATTTCAAGGGGCAAATTTGGAGCGTTGAAAACCATATACTCTGTTTTACTTTCACTGATTTTCAGACCCCATCTGGAATACGTGTCTAGCAACTTCCTCATCATATAGCTAACATCATCCGGATCCGATGCGATTATGACTTGATCATCGGCATACTGCAAATTGTAGATGACATCATTCCCGATTTGAACACCCATTCCATAGCACGATCTTTTCCAGTTTTTAAGGGCTTGTTCTATATATATCCTGGCATATGTAAACATTTAATTTCCCTAATTTGAAGTGATAACCACAAATTTCATTGATGATTCAATCAGAGTAGTACAAATGTAAGTATCATACTTGAACTCATAATTACCTAGGCCTATTCAGTGAGTAAAAATTCTATTAATAAAAACAAAAATGTGTGTGAAAGATAAATTAAGTCGGAAAAATGTTAAATGAACTTTCATTCGACTATGGCTGCATGGTGTATGGTGGACTCTCGGGAAGCCAAACTTAAACGTCTAATGAATTGCTCAATACGCTTTATCTTCGGGATCTCAAGGGATACGCATATTACCCAGTATTACACCAAGTTGAAGTGGCTTTATCCGTTCTACCGCCGTCTGTACTTCCTTGCTACCTTCCTATACCAGGCCATTAGAACACGGCGACCTGCCTATGTTCTACAGATACTACAATTCAAACACTCCTTTCAATCACGTCCCACCAGATCCTGTGCGTCCGACCTCTATCCTCCTCCTTACCAAACTGCTTCATTTGATAAATACTTTTTAATACAAGTTGTCTCCGTCTGGGACTCTATACCTTCAGATATTCGACACGCAAAAACGATATCCTCTTTCAAATCTCTCCTCTTTGAACACCTACTCCATTCCCAATCCGATTGATCATGAAATGCACTTAAAAACCTGAGCTGTAAAAACCTCAAAGTACACCCAGTTACTCTGATTATTTTGTAATTCATTGATATTTCGTTCACTTAATTACTTTCTCTGTATATTTTATATTTATATCTTTTTATCATTTATAACTTTATTGTACTCCGAATCAACCTGTAAATATTAAATTTTATTTCATGGACACACCAAAATATT